TCTAATGAATTACCTGGGCCTCGCATATTTTGGACTATTCAGAATACTACTTATACTTTCCCCACATAACTAGATTCGTCATCACAGGCTGGAATCAGTTCGCCCGGTTTTCAATTTTTTAACCAATTTTCAATCAACCAATTTTCATCAACTTGTTTAAATAAAGAAGAATACGTTAATAAGCGTGAACGTGCACGCTTATTAACTTATTCTTCTTTATTTAAACAAGTTGATGAAGTAAAGGTCGGAGGACAGCTAGCTGAGAGTTTTTTTTAATCCACGCATGCAATCCATGTTACCACCACTTTTGTTTTATAGGAGCCCATGCCTCCCGGTTTTTGAGTGGACATACATATTTGATCGTTGCCGCTGTCGTTGCAGTTCCGCTGTGTAAGCTTATTTTCAGAATTCAGTTTAATTGCTCATTGTTAATGTCTTCTGTTTTGAGATGCAAAATTGAAAGGGATTAAGTTCTACTAAAGTAAAAAAATTTTTTTTTCCCTTCGTGAAATTGGTAGCAACAAAGTTTCATAAAGAGTGTGTTGTTCTGTATATTAGTATGTACTTAAGAAACTACGTACAATTCATAATAGTCTTGAAATTTATTTAATGTGTGTAGACTTTCTTGTGAGGCCACCTGAAAAGTAAGTCCAGTAGTCTATGGGTCCTGCAGAATTCGTGCTAAAAGCCTATAAATAGGGTATGGTAAATCACAGGCCGCTTGGGTACGGAAAATGAAGCAATAGGAAGGAATTAAAGCCGCTCGTAATTGTTTTACTTAAGTGAACGTGTAGGCAAATGGTTGGGGAAGGACAAGAAAAGAAAGCCTGAGGACCAAGAAAACTATTCGAGTAACTCCTCTAGCTATTAGCGGGCCTCACAAGAAAGCCTTACCATTGTGCATTTTGGAAGCTCTGAACAACTCACCCGAACACTAGATTACACAATTCGCCCGCCTCGGTGGAATTGAAACGCGCTATTGTAAGGGGGATTCAGGGGATTTTTCCCAATCTGCCAAAACAAATATTTATTAATTTCTACTTACTTTCCCGATAATTTTGGACTGACATCTTAGGAATGCCTACTTGGAAGTCATTCCAAATAGCACAAACCTGGAATTTTCAGGACCCGTGGGTGGGGTCACATTGATCTGACCCCGCTTATGGTATCAGCGATGAAGTGTAGCATTTTATCCATCTGATCGGGAATTGGTGTAGCAAAAATATTAATTTATTCATTTCTGTCATAAAATAATCACTAAAATCTGCTTATGACTCCATTATACATTAAATCGAATCTGAATCAATAACCGTGTACTTTAAAGGCGACGTTGATATAATTCAGGAGCAAGTGAGTTCTAACAAGCCGGGAAGCTATATCTTAATCCGGTTTCTCCGAGAAAGGTGGAGGGTGCGCGAGGGAGTCATATTCCTTTTATATTGCAGTGACTGTGGTTGTCTCATTAACTGCACAACGGGCCAACTTTTGGGAACCCTGATAACACAGAATTAGCCCTGAGCTGTGTCCTCCGGCTAGTTTTATGATTGGCTGACTCGTGTGAAGAGTCCCTGCAAGCACAAGCTACTCAGCACTACTTTGGCATGCTTGGTGTAGGCTCCACCCAGTTACGCAAACAGAACACTAGCCGAATACAAGCCCGCAACTCTTAGCTACTATTTCCGTCTTAGTTGGAAAGTAGTACGATGTTCTCAGGGAATTCACAATTCCGGACCGAATGGGTTTAAGTGCCCCTAACACTAAGGTTCGAGGGCGTAAATGTCGCATAGCTCTTTCTTATCAGTATCCCAAATATTACTATTTACTCTGTTTGAATTTTTAAGAGTTTTACACCCTTCTCACCGAGGCAGTAGCAGACCTCCTTATCATAGTTTGCAGACAGTAAGATTGCTTCAAGAAATAAATTTTGCATGGCCCTACCTATCGCCGTTCGGAAAAATTTCAAATTAAAAGATCACCTGGTTCTTGAAAAGACAGTAAACTTTGCACTGTGGCTGAGCGCACAAGCCGGAAGGGCGATATCGCTTCGTGAATACACATACTCTATCAGTATATTGCATAAATCGGAAGATTAGGTAATGGACATCTACACATTCAGTTTAGGGCACCTAAGCCTTGTGAAGTTTGCATATGTAGCAACAAGATCCTGCCAATATCATGCGGGCATGCACTATAGAACCCATTTTTGACGTAGTATTTACAGAACGCTGCATACTATAGAGTATTCATTGATATTTCAAAAACACTGCTGCAGGCAAGCCTATACAATAATTCTAGGGAAGAAACTATATAAATGTTAGCATCAGCTAATATTAGTCCATTTTCTTGGTTATCACCGAAACGTCTAGAGGTACTCCAAGGAAATTACGACCAGGACATCATGAAAAATACTTTTTGAATTAATCCACTGCATCTCCAACGACGGAAAAGAGAAAAATGAAAATCGTTTCTTAAAAAATCGTTTTCAAATTTAGCCAAACACCACACTTAGTTTTGCATTAGTCGTTGGAGGATACCTAAGCGCAAACCGGACTAAGGGAATAT